CGCACTTTAACCCTTTACTTACAGCATAACCAGATGCATGATCTGGCAGGTAAATGCTTGGGACTTATATTTCCCCAGTCTTCAGATTTATGTAACAGTGACTTTTTCTTTGGCCAACATAGCACATGCCTATATGCTAAGGTATTTCAAATTAGCATGCTTGAAGAGATATATAATGTCTGTTTCACCTGTAACTGTTTAAACAAATGAAAACTTTCAGATTTTATGTATTGTGGGGCTTTTATGTAGCACTTTACATTTTCATGCTGCTGATTGTTTTTATTCTGAAATAAATGAATTTCATCAAAATTCTCAACTATTTTTTTTAAATCCTTTAAAATTTCATTATTTTGACTATGGAAATATACAATTTCTATTTCAGGAGAATAAGAAATCTTTTTGTTATTTTAACTATGAATAAACTTTCTGGCATTTTGAGACCTCCCATTTTATAGACCAGAATCCTATATAATAAAAGGGTAATATGCAAATCAACAGAACGGTGGAATGACAGGTTGCTATGACACATACTGACAAACGGGGGCAGACACTCAACACAGGAGCTGCTCCCTGGTGGTCAGTGCACTCCCACAGGGCGAGTGCTGCTCAGCCAGAAGCCACCCGACAGCTGGTGAACACGGCAGTGGCAGGAGCCTCTCCCACCTCCGCAGCAGCACTAAGGATGTCCAACTGCAGCTTAGGCCAGCTCCCTAAGCTGTCAGTCAGACATCCCCCAAGGGCTCCCAGACTGCGGAAGGGCACAGGCTGGGCTGAGGAACTCCTCTCCCCCGACTACCCGGAGTGCATGAATGTCATGCACCGGGGCCTCTAGTCAGTAAATAAGCAAACCTCACACATTTAGACTTGAGCAGAAACCTAGGCTGAAGTACTGAAAAGTCTATATTGTTTTATTACATGCAAATAAGTATATGAAAGGCAAATGCATTTAGTGAACCTGACAGCAATAATGTGTACATTAACGTATACTATGAAAGCCTGTGGGAGGTTGTACATTGCTCAAAAACTGTTTGGAACTCTTTAACAGTTGCCCTTCAGAACTAGTTTGAACTGCTCAATAAAACCAGTGACTTTATTCATACCTTGTTTGACCAAAGGTTGTATTCTTTATATCATCTGGTCTTCCGTCCATTTTATGTCCTTGAATATTTTCTCCCATCTTTTCACCTCATGCTCACTGCTTTCCCTAATTAGCCATCATCTCTGAATCAGTGCAGTAACTTCTAACAGGTCTCCACTCTTGCCCCATTCCTGACACTGCAGCCAGTACACAGACCTGACTCTGTCCCATCTCCATTGCTCTTACAGGCTTAAACCCTTCCTGTGTAGGACAAAAGGCTATGTGTGGCCAGAGGCCCACCTAGCTCTGTGGCCTAATCTAACTCAGCAAATGCTAATGGGGCTGTCCCTCAGTTCTGAGCCTGAGCCACGGGTCAGCCCTCTGTCCTGAGAGAAATGAACAAAGCTCTATAGCCACTTCCTCACACCACATACACAAATTAACTCAAAATGAATCTGAGACCTTAATGTCAGAGTGAAAACTGTATCTTTGTGACCATGGGTTAGGCAGTGGTTTCTTAGGAGATTGAAAGCACATACAACCAAAGGAAAAGAGGTAGATTTTATCGAAATAGAACTTTTCTGTTTTAAAAATTATTTAGAAAGTGAAAAGAACACAGAGTGGGAGAAAATATTTACAGATAATATATCTGATAAGGGACTTGTATCTAGAAATATTAAAGAACTCATAACTCAATCTGATTTTAAAATTGCAAAATATTTGAAAAGACAGTTGTACAAAGAAGATGCACACATGTCAGAACTACGTGAAGAGATGCTCATTAGTCACTAGGGAAATACACATCAAAACCTCAGTGAGCTAGCACTTCACACTCACTGTGATGGGTAGAATCAAAAAGGGTGTTGGTGAGGCTGGAGCTCTCACACATTGTTGGTAAGAATGTAAAGTGGTACAGCTACAATTCCTCAAAAAATTAAACATAGAGTTACCATTAATACAGCAATTCTAATACACAGGAGAAATGAAAACATCTCACAAACTTGTATGTTAATTTCCATAGCAGCATTAAGAGCCCCAAACTGGAAACTCAAATGCCCATCAACTGATGAATGGATAAACAATGTGTTACATCTATGCAGTGGAATATTATTTGGTAATAAAAATGAAGTCATATATATGTCACAACATGGATAAATCTTGAAAACGTTATGCTAAGTGTGTGAAGCCAGCCACAAATGGCTACATATTGTATGATTCCATTTATTTGAAACTAGAGGCCTGGTGCACGAAATTCATGCACGGGTAGGGTTCTTAGGTGTGGCCGGTGATCAGGGCCGATTGGGGCCTGCCAGATGGGGGAAGGGACCGCTGGAGGTTGGCCTGCCACAGGAAGGGACCAGGGGAGGTTAGCTGGCCACGAGAGGTTGGATGTGGGAGCGCATTGGCCACCAGAGGGCAGCTCCTGTGTTGAGCGTCTGCTCCCTGGTGGTCAGTGCATGTCATGGCGACCAGTGCATGTCATGGCGGCCAGTCATTCTGGTCATTCCAGTTGTTCTGGCATTCCGGTCGCTTAGGCTTTTACATATATAGATGTCCAGCATCGGCAAATCCAGAGAGGCAAAGTAGATTGCTGATTGCCAGGACTGAAGGGAAGGGTGACTGCTACTGAGTGAGGTTTCTTTTGGAGAGGTGAAAATGTCCTAAAATTAGATAGTGGTGATAGTTGCGCAACAACTTTAGAATATACTAAAAACCACACTTTAAAGAGGTGAATTTATGGTATGTGAATGATATTTCAGTAAAGCTGCTATAAAAAAAGTTACACCATTTCCAGCTGTGGTTTTCTTCCTACTGTAATTACATAATTGAACTACTGAAAATGGTTTTTGAAAATTGGTAGGACCTAAAGTTGCATCTGGAACGCAGCAAGACAAATATTTCTTAAAAACCAACATCCGGCACAACTCAGGGGTTCCGGCCAGTCCTTTATAGACTCGTGTTCCAAATGGAAGAGAGGAAGAGAACAAAATCGATGGAAAAGAACTTTAATAAGTCTCTCCCCTTACCCACTAAATCTTTGGCAGGAGAGGGGTTTTT